TCATTTGGTTTTTAATTTAAGGGGGAAAAAAATAAAATTAAATAATAAAATATGGGGGTTCGAGCCGACGATGATGCTCCATCGGAATTTACCCATTAAATCCATCCCGGCTCCAGCCCCCCCAGCCTGGGGAGGCCCATCGTTCAGGAGGGGGGTCACGGTATGACCGGGTCCCCCCCCAAGTGCGTGGGGAGTGCGGGGAGCGCAGCGCGTCACCCCGAAACTCATCACCCGCCTGCGCCTCCGATTATCCGCCTAAGAAGCATCCCGTGCTGCCAGCGCCCCAAATCCGCCCCTCGTCCCACATGAAAAAAAGGAGCGAGGGGGACAGCTGGGGACCAGGATTTGTCCCTCGTCCTGGTGTCGGGATTTTCGTCCGGAGGTTGTGCCAGTGATGCCGCGTTGCTGGCTCAGCACGGGTACCGGTGGCTGGGGGGCTGCCACCGCCGCTCAGCGAGGGTCGGGGGGCGATGGCGAAGTTTGGGATCGCAGCGCCGTGGTGAAAGCCTCCACCTGCAAGATTGGGATGATGGAGAGCACGGCACCGGGATGGCACTGGGATGGTGCCAGGATGGTGCTGGGATAGTGCTGGGATGGCACTAGGATGGCACCAGCACGGTACTGGGGTGGCGCCAGGATGGCGTCAGGATGGCAGCAGAATGGCATTGGGACGGTGCCAGGATGGCACCGGCAACGGCAGTGGCATGGCACTGGGATAGGACTGGGATGGGACCAGCATGGTGCCGGGACAGCACCAGGATGGCACCAGAATGGCACTGGGACAGCACCAGTACAGCACCAGGATGGCGCTGGGATGGCGATGGCAAGGCGGCAGGATGGTGCCAGCACAGCACCAGGATGGTACTGGGATGGTGCCAGGATGGCACTGGGACAGCACCAGAACAGCACCGGTATGTCACTGGGATGGCACCAGGATGGCACTAGGATGGTGCCAGCATGGTACTGGGATGGCACTGGGATGGTGCTGGCATGGCACTGGGATGACACCAGGATGGCACCGGCAATGGCACTGGCATGACACTGGGATAGAACTGGGATAGGACCAGCATGGTGCTAGGACGACACCAGGAGGGCACCAGCACAGCACTGGCACGGTGCTGGGATGGCGCTGGGATGGTGCCAGGATGGCACTGGGATGGCGCTGGCATGGCATCAGGATGGCGCCGGGATGGCACTGGGATGGTGCTGGGATAGTGGCAGGATGGCACTGGGATGGCACTGGCATGACACCTGGATGATACTGGGACGGTGCTGGGATGGCACTGGGATGGTGCCAGGATGGCAATGGGACGGCACCGGAATGTCACTGGAATGGCCCTGGGATGTCCGAGGTTCAAACCATCTTGGACCAAAGGTGTGGAAATTATTTTTTCCACGACAAAATGCAGCAGAGGCGGAGGCTCGGAGGTCAGCGCGGCTCTGACCGCAGTCCCGGCGCTCCCGGCAGTGCGACGTCACCTCGGCCGTGCCCACCTGCACCATGAGGCCGTCCCGCACGCCCGCGTCGCGCTCAAAGTCCTTGTCCACATCCAGCACCAGGACGGGTGCGTCCTTCACGTCGGCAAAGTGGACCCTGCGGACGGGAGGGTGAGAAGGGGTTCAACCAGAGAAACCCCCCCAGATGGGGGGGGTCATCACAAATCCACGGCGGGGACGCATCCGGACTCACTCGGTGGTTTTCTCCACCAGCCAGTGCTCGTGTTGGGCGTGGAGCTGCTGCAGGTACCCCAGCTGGACACCCCCCTCCTCGCTGCGCGCCCGCCGCCGCAGCCGCTCCAGGCATGTCTGCGCCCACCGGAGATAGTGGTTAACAGGAGAGACGGGGGTTAACGGGATCACGGAACCACAGAATGGTTTGGGTTGGATGGGACCTTCAAGACCATCGAGTTCCCGCTCCTCCAGTCCAGCAATTTTATCGTTAAACCCCAACATTCTGGCAATTTTTGGTTCAACCCAACATTCCGGCAATTTATGGTTAACCCCAAAATTCTGCCAGTTTATGGTTCAACCCAACATTCTGCCAATTTACAGCCAAAACTCGACATTCTGCTAATTCATGGTCAATCCCAACGTTTTGGAAATTTACGGTTCAACCCAGCATTCTGCCAATTCATGGTTCAACCCAATATTCCGGTAATTTATGCTTAAACCCCCAAAATTCTGCCAATTTATGGTTCAACCCAACATTCTGGGAATTTACGGTTCAACCCAACATTCTGGGAATTCATGGTCAAACCCAACATTCTGGGAATTTACGGTTAAACCCAATGTTCTGCCAATTTTTGGTTAAACCCAACATTCTGCCAATTTTTGGTTAAACCCAAACATTTCGGCAATTTATGGTAAACCCCGACATTCTGCCAATTTTTGGTTAAACCCCAACATTTCGGCAATTCATGGCAAAACCCGACATTCTGCCAATTTTTGGTTAAACCCCAGCATTTCGGCAATTCATGGTAAAACCCGATATTCCGCCAATTTACGGTTAAACCCAAAATTCTGCCAATTTACGGTGAAACACAAAATTCCACCAATTTATGGTTAAACCCAGCATTCTGCCAATTTACGGTTCAACCCCAACATTTTGGAAATTTATGGTTAAACCCAACATTCTGGCAATTCATGGTCAAACCCAACGTTCTGCCAATTTACGGCTCAACCCCAACATTCTTTAAATTGACGGTTAAACTAAACACTCTGGCAACTGAACATGGGGCAGGAGGGTCTCACCGGCACCCACCTGCGGCGTCGCCCGCAGGTAGAGGAAGCCGTGGAGCGCGGTGCGGGGCCGCAGGTGCTGCAGGAGGAACCCGTGCCAGTCCTGGTAGATGCCCCACTCCAGCGCCTGCAGGTGCCCGGCTTCAAAGAGGTTCTTGGCAAAGACGTACCTGGGGAGGGGATGGAGAGAGGGGACAGGGTGGTGACACCACCGGCAGCGCGACATCCAAGCCACCCCACACCCAGGCAGCTTCACGCTCATTTTTTTCACCTTTTGTACAGCAAATAGGAGCCACAGGTAAAATTGTTGAATTTTAAACTGGTTCAATTAAGGTGGAAGTCCTTCATTTGCTGGCAAAATTAAATTAAATTAAAAATTTAAAAATCTATGATTCTAAATTATGGTGGAAACCCTTAATTTGCTGGCTAAATTAAATTAAATTACATTAAATTAAAAATTCTATAATTCTATGATTCTATGATCCTAAACTAAGGTGGAAATCCTTAATTTGAGGCTGAGTGATATTTGGGGACGTGGAGCCACCTGGAACGGCTCAACCACCCATCACCCAAGGGATTTTGAGCTGACTGAGGACGTGGCAGCCACAAGAAAAATTATTTTGGGGATAACAAAGCCCCAAATTATCCAAAAATTGCATTTGCGTAATTAAGCA